ACAATAATTCCTAGAATGAATGAGCTTATTGGATTTTCTAAAAATAATATTAAGATAATATACTAAATAGTGCTCTAGTTTGGTATTATTTTGTTGGATATTGCCTTACAAATAAGCAGTAAGAGGCTCTAAAATAAGTCCTAGGCTTATTATTATTCTTTGAATAAAGCCTTTCTCATGTTAAAAAAAAAAAAAACAACTGAAAGTAAATAAAAAGCACACTGACCGCTGGTGGACTTTTACTCTTCTCAATATATGTGAAAAGTTCATACAGAACCACTCCAAAGCTCCAAACATCTGAGGCCACAGAAAACTTGCTCTCTGTCAGTGATTCGGGAGCATACCTGTAATATATGCAGAGTATTTTTACAAGACAGTTACTTGATGTGCCAACTCTTGATATTACCTACAAATCATTGTATTTAAATAAAACAAGGTGTAGAGAAAAGAATTAACATAGCAGGCCTGAGGCTGCTCTACTCAGAAGGGCCTCTTTGCAATGTTAACATTTGGCTGGCACTCAGGAACTTGGATTTCAGGAGGGGTTCCACAATTCCCTAAAGGATAAGAGTGACTCACTGTGCCTAAACTGTACAAACAATAGGGTTTATGCTAACATCTATTTTTCTTCTGGGAGTCTGGGATTCTGGTATATACCAGGCAAAATGCCCTTATGTAACTAGTTCCAGTAAAAATCTTGGGCAGCCAGTCTCTAATCAGCTTCCCTGGTAACATTTTATATGTGTTGCCGCAAATCATTGCTGGCAGAATTAAGCATGTCCTACGTGACTTTACTGGGATAGGGCCCTTGGAAGCTTGTGCTTGGTTTCCTCCAGGATTTGTCCCATACACCTTTTCCCTTTGCTGATTTTGCTTTGTATTCTTTCCCTGTAATGAATCACTGTCACCAATATGACTATATGCTGTGTCCTGTGGAATCAACCCAGCAAATCCTTAAACCTCAGGGTGGTTGTGGGAACCTCTGACATACAAAGATAGCTAAAATCCAAAGAAATTTATTTTGATCTCTATAAGCAGCACCAGGGTTGCCCGCAAAGTACCTTCTAAGAACTGAAAAATAAGGTGCTCTTTGCAAGTTAAGCTTTAAATGAATCCAGATAAGTATCCTGGAGAAAAAATGGATTC